CAGAGACTATCTAATACCGAATTCACATGATCAATCGGAACCCAAAAATTAAAGTACTAAAAGTTTTTTGGGAATTTTAACTTCAATTTTGTTAACGTTCATATTTTTCACGTACAGGGTGTCCCACGAAACATGACAATAGCAAGACGACTTCAACGTCGTTTTTGATTTTTTTTTAATAAAATAGGATGCCTTTATTTTTCAACCTAATTTTAGAAGTAAAATTCTAGAGATAGTATCACAAAATACCTTTAGTCCTGACATTTCCAAAATGTGGTCTGCCTTTTTTGTGCTTTCAATACTACCCGAGATATGAAGAATTTTGTTTTGATTTTGACAATTTAGGTTTTATTCAACAAAATTCTTAATATCTCCGGTACTATGGACAACACAAATAAGAAAACCACATTTTGGAAGTATTGAGTACTAGGAGAACTTTGTGGTTATTGTCTCAAGAATCATAAAAGTGTTTTAAGTAGGTTGACGACTGAATGTTCCCAATAAGTTCAAAGATCAAAAACAACTTGTAAGTCGTGTTGCTACTGCCATGTTTCGTGGGACACCCTGCACTTCTGTTATTTCAACAGCCGAGATAAAGCTCTCAATGGTTGTTTTTTAGAAGATTTACAGAGGACAACTAAAACTTCTGCAGTGATAAGCAGAAAACTATAGAATAGGAAGACGACATGAATGCAATATTGAAGTGCATTTGATGTCGTTGCAAAGCAAACAGGTTTACTAGAAAGTTATTAAATCAATTTATAAGTGAAATGGGTCTGTTTACGCTGCACGTTGCTATGTCTCATGTTAATGGAACTATTTAAAGTTATACCTTGAATCTAAAACTCGTCAATCGTCATCAAAATCTAAAGTTTTCTGGTTCTCACTGTATTATCTTGACTCTTATTCTTATCCTATTATATTTTTTTTAATTTACGTTTAGTTTGTTTGTCTGTTTGAAGGTTAAAAAAAGACCAACTTGTGTAAATGTCCCAAAATTAAGTGTCTGTTTGAAGGTTAAAAAAAGACCAACTTGTGTAAATGTCCCAAAATTAAGGGAAATCTAATTTGCTATGAAATCCAAAAATGAATAGACATGGAGAAGTTTATTGTATAAATAATGATTTTTAAATAGTCTTAACAATTCTATAATTGCAATTATATGTACGTAATACACAGTAAACTAACCCATACTCCTATTGGGGTGGTTTATTAATTATGAGATTGGTCCGTCTCCGTACAGTTGGCCTTTCTCTTTGAGATAAACATCGTTTTGTGAACAAACGAAGTTTTTTTTATAAACAATGGTGTCGTTCAAATAAAACCAACAATGGACAAACGATTTGGATCGTTCAGAGAAATGAATAAACGATCGGGTTTTTACTGAACAAACGAATTTGTCGATCAAACTTACTGAAAGAAAAACTTTTTTATAAAATGATATTTTTTTCTGAACAAACGACTTTTTTCGATCAAACTTTTGAAAAACTGTCGTTTATTTACTGAACGAACGATTTTATTGAACGAACACTTTCACTGAACTGTTGCTCAATGAGAAAACGACGAAAGAGATGGAAAACAACCGAGAATTTTGAGAACAAAAAAGACAAATTTTTTCAAAGATCAAAAAAATAACGAACGCGAGTTGGTTCAATAGTTTTTGAAAATTAGTAATTTCTTTGGTACTCCAATGGCCCACAAGAAAATCCGCGAACCTTTTTTTCTCTCAAAATTAAAAGTTCAGAAAAGCAAAAATGTGTAAAAATTATTTCTATCGATATCTAAAATTTTTTAAAGATTGAATCAAAGAATCACAGAAAATTCGCATAAATGTAATAAGAAAATTCGCAATTTTTAGTTCTGCTATAATTTTCAAGGAAAAGTTATTTAAATTCTCTAGTTCCTTTCTTCTTAGAATATTCTAAATTATTAAATAAACGCTGTTCAGTTGAAACATTGAAAAACAATTTTTCCGTAAAAATTATATTAGAACTGAAAATTGCGGATTTTCTAATTACAATTTTGCATATTTTCTGAAATTCTGTGATTTAATCTTTTTAAAATTTTAGTTTTTGATAGAAACAATTTATTTACTCATTTTTGTTTTTCTGAACGTTTGATTTTGAGAGAAAAAAAGGTTCGCTGATTTTGTTTTGGGCCATTGAAGTACGGAAAAAAAATTACAAATTAAAAAAGATATATTTAAAAACACCATACCGGAGATTTGCTCAAAAAAGGTACAATTTTGCACCAAGCGCCTGAGTAACTTTAAAAAACGTACTTCAATAAAAGACTAAAAACCTCTTTTTCATTCTAAGACTTCAGATAAAGGATCATTTAGAGATTCTTCTTTAATATCGTCTTCTGTTATTTCACTTTTAATTTCGTTAACTTTATCAGTGATAGAAATGGGTTCAAAAGTCCCAAAACTGGATGTAGAAGTCCCAAAACTGGACTCAAGATCATAATTGTTACATACAAGATCAGTATCAGGTTCAAGTTCGCATTTCACAAGACCAGGGTCACATTCGACAAAATCATGTTCTTTTTTCACAAGATCAGGATCATATTCGACAAAATCTTGTTCATTTTTCACAAGATCAGGATTATATTCGACAAGATCAGGTTCATACTTCACAAGATCATCTTTGGCCTCATCAAGATCTGAACTACTCTCATCAAGATCTGATTCACATTCATCTGAATCGTTTTCACTCAATCTTGGCTCACCCTTAATAATACCTTTATCAACCGCCTTCATTTCCTCCGGATTCTTGCTTTTCTTAGACGAACCTTCAGAGATCAAGTGAATCTTTCTCTTGTGCACTTTCAAACCTGAAAGTGCAGTTGCAGAATGATCACAATACTCACATGGATATCTGACTTTTAGGTGATAGCTTTGTCTGTGATATTTCAAGCCTGGCAGGGAGTTGGAGGAATAAACACATTTGTCACAGTAGTAGGTTTTCGCCTGTAACAAATATACACTTTACAGGGTGTCCCAGAAAAGGGGGATTAGAATTTTAAAACCTCATTATGCATTAAAAAGTATTCAACGTTTGTTTAAGTTTCAATTTTGAAAGGGTCTTTTCATTTCAAATTTTTAAACTAAACATTGAGGACAACCATTTAATCTAATTTTCAGATGTATATAAAAAATTTAAGTTAAGATATGAACAAGAAAATGCAAAAATATTGATATTTTTAGAGAAAATATTTCAAAATATATATTTTTAGATATATACCTCTTCCGAAAGATGTCTTCTATCCTTGTGTTTCTTTAAAAGATAGTTTGTAGGAGCAGAATATTCACATTTATTACATTTAAACTGAACTCCTTCGTGTTTCATTTTCTTGTGTCTTTTTAAATAGCACTCGTTGGATGTAACATAACCACAAACATCACAAGATAATTTAATTAATAAATGTTTACTTCTCGTGTGTCTTTTTAGGTCAGACGGCGTACTTGCTGAATATCCACACTGATCACAAGGATATCTGATCCCTTTATGCTTAATTTCATTATGCTTCTTTAAATCTGAACTTCTTGTTGCAGCATAATCACAGAGGTCACAGGGGTATCTAACCCCTAAGTGTTTGGTTTCTTGGTGGGATTTTAGATATGATAATCTTGTTGTCACATAGTGGCATTCCTCACATTGAAACTTTTTATCCAGTTTTTGGCTGTTCTTCGCCTCTAGAGTTTCCATGGGTGACATGACATGTTATTNTTATTCAGGGATCAATGTTGCCCAACTCCTGAAACATAATCACATTTAACAGAAATCAATACTAAAGGGACTGTACACGTAAAATCAAGCAACCTTTGGAGTAGAGTTGCATGTCTGATTTACAACGGTACCCGTCCGTAACAGCTTGGTATGATTCAGAATAAATGAGATGTCCATATTTTTAACTTAAAAATTGTTTGTTTTTAAAATGTGGTTTTCCTCTGCTACAGAAACTATGGTTATAAATGGACAGAATTAACACCTAAATCTAAAATACAACGATATCTTCCACAAATTATTGTCTAGATGAACTTCTATTTAAAGAGGTCGCTCTGAATTAAATGATTTCGGGGTTTATGCAGGAGTAGGAAATAAACAAAATTCAACATTATTCCAAGATAGAAAAATCGTCAATATTGTCGTTAATGTTGCTCAACTCACTTAGAAGCCTAACTTCAGATATCGTTGTGAATTGAGCATGTCACTTTCCAAATAAGGATCGCGTAACATTACTGAAGGAAAAATCTCCCAACATTGTAGAATACTAATCCATAAAACTAATGATCAAACTTTTATAATTATATTACATCACATTGCATAGAAATTCGTAGTAAAAACTGAGCAAAATATGTAAATTAATAATTCACTTGTAAAAAAATAACTGCGCAATTATGTGTATTTTGTATACCTAAATATTCCTTCCTGTTGCAGTTGGGATTGAAGAAAACATATAGCAGTAGAAATCCAATATTTTTCTTTCCTTCGTTTTTATCTAAAACATACATACATACATAAATACTATAGACTCTCTTAAAAGTCAAACTGGACAATTTTATTCTTTAAAAGACGATACCATTCTTATTCACCCCTAGCTCCCCCTCCTCTTTCGACGTTCTAGGAGTACTGTTCAATTAATTAAACTTTAAAATCGATTTTTGTTTCTATTTTTGTCAAGATTTCAACGTACGTTTGCCGCGGTTTTTTTGATCAAATATGAATTAAATATCAATGTTGTATATTTTAAAAACTTCAGAAATTAAACTCGTTAAAGCTAATAAAACTACAAAATCTTCCGAAACATACTGATCAGCTAAAGGTTTCAAGTGTACCCTATGAACAAGGAATTTAACAATTTGCGCGCGTACACAGCTGATTTTAGCCAGAAGGGGGGGGGGGCAAAGGGACTACTTCCCCGGGCCTTGATGGTGTACATTACAATAATGTGTTGATGATGTATAAAATATCGAAGACGATTAAAAGTCGTCACTGAAAATCCAGATATTTATTGGGTAACCCTGTATATGTATTACACAAGTTTGAATTTTCAAAGAAAATTTGAAGAAAAATTGGAGGTTAAAAATGACTAATTTTTCATAAAATTTTTCAATAATTATTTTTATGTAGATAATATATAACCAAGATGTCTACCTCAATCAGCTGACAGCTTTCCCCCCAACCTCTGACTCGCCACTCGGTTCGGGCCATTTTCTTTTACTTGATTCCATCTTGTCCTACCACACACACGCAGCAATGGCCTCCATCACAAGGTATATTAAACTATTGTAAGAAATGTTATGGTGTGTTTAAATAGCGATATTGTAGACTCACATTGTTTTTATTTTATTTTTCTGATACAGAGGGTGATTTTTTTATCTAGCTGTTTGATCTGCAGACATGTGATGTCCGAGTTGTAAAGTTTTGTTCTCAAGGGTTGCTCTAAATCATGTCAATTCCAAATCTAGGCCATTCGGTAATATCCTGATATACGATTTTTGGACCCCCTCCCCCCTCCTATCAATTTTGTACATTGATCTTATACATGTTAGACATGGATGTAATGTGGCCGCAGCGCCCAGCCCCCTAGCCTGTCCTAGCCGCAGCGATCGGCTCAAAGTGTCTTAACCTTACCTAACCCTGAACAGGTCCAAAAATCGCATATTAGGAGAAGCAACATTCAAATTTAAAAGTAGACTTTGATATAGCCCTGAACGCGTTCTAGTCGTTTTACCAATTATATTTAATTGTATTTGATGTTACAAGGGAAAAAGTTTACTAGTAACTTCTTTTTTGACCTTTAAGTCAAATGGGTCTGTTAACACTGCACTATTGCTGTGTAACATTCAATTAGACTAATTTATCATTTATACTTTACTCTAAAGGTAGTTTTGCAGTTCCACAGTTGTTTTCTGGTTCCTACGTAACTGTAGGGCTCAGTAAAGAAAGAATGTAGGGAATTGTCCAAAAATCGTTCTCTAGGAAATGACCTGTTCTCCTTTAAATTCTATTGAGGAGGATGCGTGTTTTCTGCCTAAAAATTGATATTTATAAACAGTTGTCTCTTTTAAAACGATTGGCGTATTTATGCAATAGCCATAAGAATGAATTTTCACAAAATTTATTTAATTTTAAGCGACGGCATCTTGTTACTTTTTGACGGATTACAGGTTATTGTTGTAAATATAACTCGTTAACATTTGATCCTTCTAGACTGAGCGTTCTTCCTTGCAGCCGTCTTGCTCTGGCTCAACGACCAGCAGTCAGGCAATGGGCCCTCAACCAGGTCAATAGAATGGATGAGAGTAACTTTAAAAGTTTTCTCACTATTTTAATATTTTTCCATCAAAATTAATTTTTTTTTCTCCTAACATTAATTTTCTTTCGCAAACGTACCTAGCTTATGGGGAAAAAATCATTTTCAAAAAAGTTATTTTTCAAAAATAAGCACCCCTGACCAATTTCCTTTACTTTTAATCCGGATTTGTATAAAAAGAATCCGAATCCAGCTTATTAATATTTCTTTCAGTTTTGTATATTTATATTAAACATTGTTTTATATTAAAATCAAATTTCTTAAAAGATATTAAACTGGGTTAGGTCCGTTAAATTTTATTTCTAATTTATAGCCTTATCATTATAAAATTTAAAATGATTCCTCATTTCTAATAATTCTAATTTATCGTCTATTATTTTCNCCATAAACTATACCGAGAGCGTACTGCATATTTGTTTATTTTAAGTTGATTCTGGCCTAACTTATAGTATATCAATATTAGTACACAGTTGTAAGTGTTCAGTACGGCTAACTGAGCACACAGGTAGAGAACTATCATCCCCCCTGGTCCATATCCTTGTACCTATACGTATTTTAGGAACCCCAGCTTGAAGCAGCAGCTGTTCTCTTACGCTATCCTTGGATTTGCTCTCTCCGAGGCTATGGGTCTCTTCTGTCTTATGATGGCCTTCCTACTCCTCTTCGCATTCTAGATGTCCTTAGGTACCATATTTCAGTTTAAAGGGACTGTTCACCAAACTGTGAATACACTTTCAATAACAATTTCTGGAGTGTTGAATTAAAGTTAAACAATTTTATGCTAGGACGCCTGGTTTTCTCGAAAAAAATGTCCGTGTTAAAGGACTGTAAGTGTAATTTTTATTTACCCTCCATGTATAAATCTCAATGTTCGATTTAATTCGATCCTTCAAAGCTTTATTTGATTAAGTATGAACTATGGAAACTAGAGAGACAATTTTGAAATTCGAAAATCCAAATTGTTGAATATATTCTATTTGGTCAAAATAAAAGACTGAAGAGTGCTTAATAGATATAGGTTTAGTTTGAATTTCGCGCTCAAATCGACGTAGTGAGATATGGGTTTAAACAATGAGATGTGATGGGAGTGTAAACTGTAAATCCGCAACTTAAAAAATTCGCGATTTAGAAAACTTGTAAATTTTGCGGGTGAACATGATAAAGCTACACCTTAAAGGGACTGTAAAGGAAAAATTAAAGGGGGTATAGGCTGAAAGTTAATCACTTTAGCTCTCGATCACGACCCATAAAAGTTATATCTGATGTTCCTTTCTCGAGAAACTGATTTACAACTTTGTCAAATTTATACGAAAATAATATATCTATACTATTTTGGATAAAAGTAGTGGGTTTAAATAGATCAAATTCAGCAAATATGCAACCAATCTAAAAACGATGATATCCCAGAGAAAGCTTTAATTGTAACTTAGGTTTACTCCAATTCTAATTTTATATTTGTTATTTCTGTTTTTAATAGATTTAATTCATAATATTATTTATACGTTCGTATTACTTGACCAGAAATTCCACCAATGGCAGTGCAGTAGAGTGGTCACGTGATACAGGCGGAGACACGTGACCAGTATACTGCTCTGCCATTGGTGATAGTTCTGGTCACGTGATTTAAGTTTAAGATTTTCTAAATTTTACATATATGAACTTTCGTATAATTTTAACACAGTTTTATATCAATTTCTCGAGACAGGAACATCAGATCAAACTTTCATGGGTCGCGATCAAGAGCTAAAGTGATCAGCTTTTAGCCTATACCCCGGCCCTTTCATTTTTCCTTTACAGTCCCAAAACTTGTGCAATATGAGGTCAAAATCTAGGTGCAAGATTGTTGAGCAAGAAGCCCTTAAAAGTTATGGAATATTTAGGAAAAGTTTTAAGATCGAATTTGAAATAATTTGTTGTTTATTTTAGAGATATGGCTAGAGGGTTGTTGTTGCTGTGCTTCAACTAACATCTATGTACATCGTTCAGTACAGTATTCTACATGTTCAATGTGTTCTGTACATGTTTATGTTGTAATGAAACATTTAACGTAATAAAGTTGATATTTAGGAAATTTGATTTATTATGTACAGGAGGGTGGTTCACACACGAATTGGTTTGTAAAAAGTTATAAATTTGATTTTTTATATACAGGAGGGTGGTTCACACAATAATTGGTTTGTGAAAAGTTAAAAAAAAAATTTTTTGTTAAAATAGAACATTTTAAAAAATTGTAAAAAGCTCGTATGAAATTTGCATACATAATTTATGAACCCCTTGACCGATTTGTCTCGATGTTATTTCTGTACACAACGGTAGAACAAAAAGAATGTTCATAACTTGTTTAAATAATGTTAAGTTGTAACTAGGTTACCTTGAAGGTAGAACGTTTAGTATCCAGACAGAGCTGGGTTACCAAGTGAAATATGTAAGCCAGGTTTTATAATAAGGTTGGTTACTCTCGATGCGCTCTAATGTATGGAAAACGTCGTATGAAAAGATAAAATACCTTATTAATAATTATACAATGCGAGAGTGAAGTGACATGAGGTTTCTATCAATAGTACATTGTAGCGCATCGAGAGTAACCAACCTTATTATACATCCTTGCATTATCCTAACAAGGAATTCAAGCCATTAAATAGCCGTTCAGAAATTATAGAATTTTTCACTGTTCATGAAAATCAGAATTATTCGACTCAGATCAATGTTAAAATTGTACAAGGGTGTCCCTCAAACCATGACAGTTTGTGAATAGGAATGAATTTCTTCTTACATACTTTTTGCAGTTTATTTCGTTTAAAAAAATCTTCTATATTTACTTTAAAATCAATTCGTCATATAATATATTTGTTATCATTCTCTTTAGTATCAAACAATTAAGCAAACTATGGAAGAAGACATAGGATTTAAGTGAGGGGGTGGCAAGATTTTTTAGGATATTCAGCAATTATCATGTGTTTAATAATATATGGCTAAACTCTGTCTACAGAGACTAAAGATAAAGTTAAACCCAAATGATCCTAAAATTGGAAAATGTCAAATAGGTTAGTTATTTTAATTTATACCGATGCAAATGTAGACCAAACTTCAAGTCCTGCAAGATGTAAGAGTAATTTCATACCATATTTTTATAGTTAAAATTAATGATTTATGCAGAAGGAAATCACTTTTTTGGCGAGGTTTAAACAATACTAAGCTTCGCTTCGTGCCTATCTTCTATTTCAATTGTGAACATTTTCTCTTTGTACACATTCTTAAAGTAAAACAAAAATTCGCGGATTTTATAAAGAAAATATCGTGGATTTTCAAAATTTTCAAACTCTAATATTGTTAGATGCAAATTCTTGAAAATTCGATCATCCATAAA